TGACCAGTTTCTATTTTACCCCTATTATATACAAAGTGAATCTCTGTTATCTGCCTCTTTCCAACAAATGATCACAAACCTGATAAATAATCAAGGTTATGCTTTATGTACTTTAATTAAAAATAAAAATAAATTAAAAACTACACCAATGCAAAAGGAAATTTAGCAGCCAATGAATAAAATCTTACATTAAAGAAATTAAATAACATAGGTATAAATCACATTCCAAGATCTTAACCAAGTACTGAAGCTGATGAGTAAACAGACACTTACCATAGCCATATGGATTTAAGTCATTTAAATTTTTGATTAGTCCTTAGGATGCTTTTTAAACTTATCATTATTACACACACAAGGTTTTTGTAAATTACTAAACTTCTTTTCATGAATTTTATTTAGTTATTTATAATTATTATTATTTTTTTAATTTGTTACAAGATCAGATTTGTTTCCCAGATGTCCAGGACTGACCTGCACAGTCTTAGATTCATTATTTTTTCTGGAATTATGTTCTGGATGGTAAATATCTGGAATTTTTCAATAAATTACCATAAAAGTTGAAGGATATGAATTATTAATTTAAGATAATGGAAAATGTCATAAAACCTCAATAATAGTTTTACCAGGATGCGGGTATTACTTGAAATAATTTTTCGAGTGAGGGCAAGTAACACAATCTTTGTTACTAACACCTTCTAAACATGCTCAGCAATATGATTCATCCAGTCTGGCAAAATTACTACTCATTTTTTTTTTTTTTTTTTTTTTTAACTTAGAGAACCTGTTATTAAAATTAAATTATAATATTTATTCAGGCAACTTATCACTACAGAGGCTTAGGCAGCAAACTATGTCTAGGCTGTATTCAAATCCTACTCCTGAAGAGACTTACTGTAGAATGTATTCAACCTACGTTTCAATATTTTGAGTAGTCTACTAATTGAATACATTGCTTTAATGTTCCCTTGTACTAATCTTTATCATGCATGGCTGTATTACTTTAAAAAAAAAGTCAGACTTTTTTAGCATCAAAATTTTTCATAAAATACTCTGGACTTATAATAACCCTATTCCTTAGACCATATAAAATGATTTAAATAACACAAATATTCGTGTTTTGGTATTTTTTAATTTCAAGAAACTGGTTTTGTAAAAAATACAAAAACTAGTTTTTTAATAAGGTCCTCTGGTTTCTATATTTATGTACAGAAAACTTATGTGCTCGTTATAAAAAAAAACACAAAAAAGTGATAGCAGAATATTTAATTTCAAAATCTGCAATTTTTGGCATTATTTTCAACTTGTCTTCAGCGGTCAGTTAATAAATAAATTACTACAATTCAAGATTGATTTTTTTCCTCCTTGAAATGGAAATCAAATGATATTTCTTTTATGATCTAGTAATGTGCAATATTCTATAATTTTGTTACGCATGGAAAAAACGAATACCGAATACGCATATCCGAAAAGCATTTTCATTAGCGTAATTTACACGTTTTCAAATACTAAAAATACATTATTTATATTCTTATGTATTTTCACTACATTAGAATCAATTTAATAACCATAGAAAAAGTTTATAAACCTAGAAATATTTTTAGTTTATGAAAACAATGCTATGAGTTACGTGACAATACTGAAACCAACTATTTTCTAGAACACTAAGGACGTAAAATTCTATGGATACGATATTTTTTTTAATTATATCATTTAATACTTTTCAAGATAATATGCATAGAAATGCCCATCACTTAACTTTTTAACATTAGAAATCTCTTTCAAAACTGATATTTTCAGTTAAATACAGATACAAACCTTCCACTGTTCAGTTTGTATATGTCTGCTGATTTTGATTTCCATGTTTTAAACTGTCTCCCTTAATTTTTACATATCAGAGTCATGCTTTTCCTAATTTTTTTATATATGCAAGAGTAAATGCATAAAACATTTAGATTCTGTAATCCCTCGGGAACATATAAAAAATTGGGTTCTGTAATTTTTATAAAATATACTTTAAATTTCAAAATGCTAAAAAAAGAATGTCTGCATTGTTTAAAACAATCGGAAGTATATGTCTATGCAGTGGCGTAGCGAGGGGGGGCAAGGGGGTGTATGACGCCCCGAGCGCCGCTCGCAGAGGAGCGCCAAATGGTCTCCAAACAAGATTTTCATCATATCGCCGTGTGTTTTTCGGGGAAGGGGGGGGGCGCCGAAAAGGTATTTGGCCCCGGGTGCCAGTTATGCTCGCTACTCCACTGTGTCTATGACCAATGGTTCCAGTAATAAAGATTGGGCAATGACTTTTCTAGACACATGGTGTATAAAACAATCATATCTCACAAAGTGTATGAATGAAGTACAAGTAAAATATTTACTTTATTTAGAAAAGAAATCAGATTTTAAACTCTGCATTTTATTCACATCTCAGACTTCTTTAAGTTTCTTTTATCGATCTTTCAGAAAACATTAAATTCTCTTTTTTTTTGGGGGGGGGGTTACTTTAGACTTAACAGATCATCATCTAAAGATAGCGAAATTATTTCCTTCTCATTTTTAACATTAGATCAACAGCTTACTTCTAGGACTTTATTTTATCCTTCTTGATAATAGATATAGTTGAATACATTTTGCAATAAAAAGTCAATTTACTGGCAGAATTTGATGCCATTTCATTCCATGAAGATATTCAGTGTACCCATCTCTGTTCATGTTAACAATGTCAGAGAAAACTGGCTTGAAATAAGCTTTTCTGCTTGAGTGTTTGAAGCAATGATAATTCCAAACTGCACATGAACAGTGCTCATATGTAATCTAATTATAACTACTTGGTTTGTTTTAAGGAAAAATTCTTCATAAAATTTGAAAATGGAAAATTTTAACTATGTATTAGGGTTAAAAACATTCACTAAATCAAGATTTTTGTGCTCAACCTCTTTTGAGAAAAACAAGGAAAATCATAACATTAAGACAACTTTTTAATATAGTTATATTGATAAGTAAAATTTCTGTGGTTTGAAATAAGTTTATTACAATACTGAAATTATTTTCTTTTCAGCTAAGGTCAGATTTTATTTCAAAACAAAAAACAAAAAAAAACAAAAAAAAAAAAAAAAATTGACTCCATTTTCAAAATTTCTGGAAAACCATTAAAGTTTCAAAGCAATTCATGCCTATTTGAGTTTAGTAATTTCCAAGACCTCTTCGTCGTTTTTGCCATCATGACTATATAAAAACACATAAAAAACTATGTGACAATTATAGATGGATTTAGAAACAAATTTCATACTTTTATATGGAATAAAGCAAAGCTTAGTTGTCTGATGTTCTGCATTTTTATCTATGCTTTAAAGCACTTAAGATAGTTTCTTGAAGAAACTGAGATAATATCTTTAAAATGCTCTTGTAACACTTATAACTAATAACATTCATATACTAACTCAGTTTCTTTCATATATAATGTACAGTAGAATTCCAATTAACTAGGTCAGCGGTTCTCAACCTTTAAACTAACGCATACCATCTAAACAAAAATTGAAAACCTTTAGTATCACCAAAACTCTTGAACAAAGCTCAGATCTAAAAAATTTACAAGTGTTAGAGAAAAAACTCAATCAAAATGTTGAAGTTTTAATTTTGAATTTAATAGTTAAAAATACTTTGCTTCTTTGCGTACCACCTATTTTTCTCTTGCATACCACTGGTTGAGAATCACTGACCTAGCTCAATCATTCTTCATTCTATGCCATATAAACTGAAGTTTGCTGTTATTTCACAGGTTTTATTTTATTGTACTGTTTTTGTTAATATAAAAACTACAAAGATATAGAACAATTTTGCATATATTTTTTAAAAACTAATAAATTTATTTAGATCAATACATAAGACATGTTTATTGGTCACCCCACTGAAAAAAAAAAAAAATAAGTTGTATGCATTTATCTCATTTAATTAAATAATATGTCACCATATAACTTTTGATAAATATGCAATGAAAATCATAAACAGACCTACCATTCTTTATTTAAACCTAACAAGTATTTTCTTCTAAATAAAGAATAAACACAGATGACCAGTACCCTAATTAGCTTAATTTTAATTAATTAAAAAACTGGTTATGAATTCTTTTTACATAAATGTTAATTTTTTGCTACAGTAAGGGGAGAAAACACTCCATTATTGCTTCCCATTTTACAACATATGTAAAAAAAAATAGTTTATTTTGCTTGAATGTGTTGTGTATTTAACAAATGAAAAGTTATAAGGTATTTCTCCCGCCTTCTTAGCATGCCTTCGTAGCGTAGTGGTCTGCATGCTGGGCATGTATTCCAGAGGTCTGTGTTTCTATTCCGAGCGAGGGCGTTGCTCAATTTTCACTTCTCCTGCTTCCAAAAAATACCTAATGTCTCTACAGTGGCACCCGAACTAAAAGGGTGGTGGATGAGGATTCTTCACACCCAGGATTTGGCTATTTGGGTTCCCTAAAAACCCTAGTTGCCCTTTAAAAGGAGGATTTCTCCTGCCTTCTTAGCATGCCTTCGTAGTGTAGTGGTCTGCACGCTGGGTGCTTATTCCAGAGGTCTGTGGTTTGATTTCTGGCGAGGATATTGCTTAATTTTCTCTTCTCCTGCTTCCAAAAAAAGACCTTATGTCTCTACAAAGATACTCAATATCAAAGTGCTGGAAAATTACAAAGTAAGTGTTTTCCAGTTTCTTCAATAAAAATAATTTTGTAAGGTTGCATATTCTTTCTGTTTTTTTAAATAAAGCAGGATGCCTACAAAAATTATTAAACAAATAAAATTTCCCAAACTGCATTATAATGAATATGTGTTATGCTTAAATGGTTTAAAAAATCATCAGTAATTTTTGTATTACCCAAATGGGTGATTGCTCTAGTAAATATGGATACTTAGAGTTCTTGCATTATTCCTAGATTAAAATTTAGGCTGTAATTTATGATCAACATATACAATAAATTCCTTGACCTTATGCAAAACACACACAAATGCACTTTTGTTTTATTAACACATTTTGTTTCAGTAATTCTCCAGTCACCAGGCATTCAGAGTATTCAATATTACTCAAACAATAAATTTCTATTACCTATTTCAATAACATAATTCTTAGTGCCAAGATTTTTATTAGTTAATTTAGTTGAAATAATGACTTTCTATTAACAACTGGTACAACAAATTTATTACAATGCATACTGGAATAAATAAGGTTTAAATTCCGTAATTTTCAGATAAAATTACTAAATTTATTACCATTCAATATGTGAAATAACCTGCTTTGAACCTCTGAAAAATTAAGTTCCGCATAACTCATGTATCAGGTTACAAAAATTATTGCATAATTTCCATCTTTACAGGGCAAAAAGAATTCAACTGTAATTATACAGACAGGGCATTGGGAGGGGGAAAAGGATATTTATTAGGGGGAAAATATGCAAATATATTTTTAACATTTGTTAATCTTCAACATTTATTTTTTTTAAAGTACACAAAAATATCACTGAAATGTAAATTATAAAAATTACAAATTTCATTATAAATTTTTAAAATATATACTTGCTAACAATTAAAGCATATTAGAATTAATAACAATTTTGTAGAATTTCTTTGTACAACTAGATACAGGGAAAAATAATTGATTTTAAAATGTGCGAGAACGCATCTTACCACCTACTTTACATATATAGAACATTACACTAAAATTTCTAAACAAATGAAACTTTCTGTTTTACATAACTCTTGTTATAGTTACAGAAACCAGTATATCATTTCACCACACTTTGTCTATACATGATAGAAAAATTATCAATAAAACATCAGTTAAAAGAATACTGCAAATGCCTTAAGTTTTTATTTTTGACATCAAGCATGCACATCTGTAAGATAATGTACAAAACAGTTTTTATAAAATTGTACTGATCTGGGGAAAAAAAACTATGACCATTATTACAGCATTAGGTGTTTTCAAAAAACGTACGAAAATTAGAAATTTCTAAATAACTTATCTTTAAAAAAAATTAAATCTTTTATTTTATACCTTTTAAAATATAAAGAGGTTTTACATATCACATTATTTTATTGGTGTTAATTTTATACTTGGTAGTGTCTCCCCCTCTTCACACAAGTTATCTATTTAAAGAGAATTAAATCTTTTATTTAATACCGTTTAAAATATAAATAGGTTTTACATATTACATTATTTTATTGGTGTTAAATTTATACTTGGTAGTGTCTGCCCCCCCCCCCGTCACACAAGTTAACCCTCCAGTTAGCCAAGTGTTTGACTTCAAACCTCAAAGTTAGCAAAAATGCTATAAGAAAGATGTATTTTCTTAATTTTACTGCAAAATGCCCCTGCCATTTCAAACTTGAAACTTTTTATACATACATATATAAATATGTATAATAGATATAAAATATGTATATAAATATGTATATATATATAGAGAGAGAATAAACTGTTTACATGTACTTTGATATGTATGTACATAATTACTTAAAGGTGTTAGGAAAAATGTTATTGACATAAATACATTGCTTGGCCAGATGGAGAGTTAAACACATCACACAAAAAAAGACATTTATTAGAAACAAATTCAAAATTACATTTGAAACAAATGTAATTTATTAGAAACAAATTACATTTCAAAGCAAATTTATTTAAATAAAATTTAAAATAACACATTTCAGTATGATTTCAAATATATTTTAAATAAAGTACCAAGAAACTGTCTATATTGACCACCTTTTAATTTACTTCTAGTAGAAATTTTATTTTTGAAATGTAGTTACAATTTGTAAAAAATATGCCATGCTATAGTGCACACTGTCAATAATCAGTAAACTGCAATATGCACGTCAAATTTTCAATATAATTTAGAAATGTGCATCATGTGCTAATTGTCACAGCAATAAATAAAAAAATAATTTTAATAATTTAATTTTTAATAATGACTTCCAGCCATGACAATGTAATTTTGAAAATTGGATAGGTTTATGAGGACAAACAGCTTAGCCATACACTGTTTACATGCTTTATCACTGATGCACCTTAAATGTTCCGGAACAGCACTAAAGATATGTATAGTAGCAGCTGTATTAGTGAAAACTACAAACATTTAATTGATGAATGAAATGATTGGTTAATAAGTACTTTTCCACTGACTATTTTTGACCAAAAAAAAAAAAAAAAACCCTGTTGCTAAACAGAGCAATTTAGCACAAATATAAATAAGCACGATGTTGCAACACAATCAAGTTCACTGCTTCATATTTTGTACCCTCAATCCTCAGTCAGCCTGTTTAGTTTTCGTAAAGGCGGATATAAGTTAACTGCTGTATCTATTTTTCTTTTGCATTCTGAAAAAAACTTACTCAAATTCTGAGCCTGTTTTCTACAGAACATGAGTGGAGTTATGGTACTGTTTATAATGGTGTGCATACTCAAAACACTGAAATTTCTAGGGTTAAGCAAAATAGTACAGTAAAAGACACTTTGCAACCACATAATACCCCTTACATTTGATATTTAAGGGAACTTATGTTGTGGCTACTTTACAAAGATGACTATTTTATTATTTAATTATTATTACAGAGTTTAGGCCACTGGAATGATTGGCATAAGACTTAATGAATGGCAGATAATTTCAAAACTTGAGCTCTTATTTATTTTTATATGCTATATTCATAACTTTGTATCTGCTGATTATCCAGTTTATAAGGTACACTCTGCGATTATGCATTTAAATATAAAACAATCTACTTCTTCAAACTCCTGCTAGGATGAGTGGTGCAAGTTTGATGGCATCTTTGCCAACTTACAAACTAATCATATTTTCCTATCTCAAAGACAGATTCTTTGTTATTTGTGACAAAAACATTTCTTCTTCTTACCAGCAAATACTCGTGGGCATCTTCCAGGGGTCTTTAATTGGGCCTACTTTGTTCACAATTTATGCGAGCAACATCTTGGATACGCCTAACATTATACTTGCCATGTATGCAGATGACATGGCAACATCACCCTAAGTATGTCACTGTATTCAATCATACAAGCATAACAAAGGCACATTCATGTGCTGGAATCCTGACTAAATAAACAGAAACTAATTAAAATCAATGTAGATAAACTGGAAGCTGTATTATTCCCCTGGAAGCACAACGTGGATCTCAACATCAGTATGTACAATGCAGTTATCCGGTGGACGAAGGAAATCAAATACTTCAGTGTTATTTTAGATCAATGATTCACATGAACCCTAAACGTTACATATATCTGCTCCAAATTTTGGGCCTCTAATGTTAAACTCAAACCCTTCATTGCAAGAAAGTGAGTTCTCTCATTAGATAAGTTACTCATTTCCAAGACTACATTGTGTTCTATAATTACATATGCCTGACTCTCTGGGATTATACCTGAAAAGTAAGCAGCTTTAAATACTGAAAAATATAAGTTTCAACAAATAAGTAGGTGATTTATAGCAAACCGGTGTATTCATAAGGAACTAATTATATTAATAATTTGCATCACAAAATGTTCTTTAGCAACACAGAGTTAATGATTCAGTTACTGTACTAGATTACGGCTATGTAGGTTCCAGCAATTGTAGACAGCCAGAAGCCATCTTACTTCACTTAATTTAACTATATTAATAATCAATTCTTGTACTGAATGTATCTTAGTAATTATTTAGTATTTAATTTATTGTTAATTTATTTTTCCTCTTCCCTATATTTTTTGGCCAATCCTCAAAATGCACTTGAGAGAACTCCAGCCCCTCACCAATGCCAGAATTTCTGGTATTAATAAATTCTTCCCACTACCAATCCTGTTACTCTCAAATCACATGTCAAGATGCCCAGCAGTCAGTCATTTGAGTTTTAACTAACAAGCATGCAACATACCACTCCACAATGCTCTTCAGATAACAATTTTGACTCATGCTAATAACTGCTTTATTATCTACCATGCATTGTTATCATGAACTTTATTAGCCTCTGTAATTTTTCAGTAACAGAGTTTAACATTTGACAATGTATGACTCATGTACATCCTCAGCTATCACCATTTTCTTTATGCTCACTACAAAAAGCCATGGAACGTTTTTACATTTTGCTCTACACAAGATAAGGCTTCCAGCCTAGGTGCCTAAATAAGTGACCCATACTCACTTGACTCATCTCTGCTTACTTTATGGCTGATAGAGAAGCACAAGTACCAACTGATTTAATGCTAAATGTATCTCCACATGTTGATGATCATGCTAGCAAAAACATTTTTTAATGAAAAAACCTTGATAAGCTGGTACTCTAGAATGATTTTCATAATTGCAGTTTTTCAGAAGCTCACAATATTTCATAACACTTGTTTTTATTCTTTCCAAAGGAAGGAACATGGATAAAGAGTAAAGAAAATTAATTGTTCCTTTTCCAAACTACTGCATTAGTTAATCCCCCTTATTATAAAAAGCTTTTACTTAATTATTACAATCACTATAACCACTTTAATTTTATTCAATTCCTACTAAATTTATTAAATACTTATATCTGAATGCAGAAGGAAAACAAAAGAAAAATTTGGCATTTTATTTGAAAATAAAATTTAATATAATGCAGGAAAGTTTAAAATTTATACTGTGGGAACATACCTTTCCACAACAGTAAATTGAGCAGCACAAAATTTATTTATGCTTAAATTTTACTTTTTAAATAGCTAGTTGCATGTCATAGAAAATCCTCTCATCTCTATCATAATCTATAGGCTCTATCTATCCTCTCATGGCTCTATCTATCTCCAATTTTTAACAAACTGCATCTACTGATATGACGTTCAACCAGTCCTGAAATTAGATTTTTAAATGTTATTACATGAATAATAATTAGAGAACTATTTATCAGCAGCCAAATTGATAACAGCTTATCACAACATAGCTATAAGTAAAACTGGAATGAGCATCTTGGTATTGCTCAATGTCAAGTATCATTGCCTCAAAAAGTATCAGTATTTTCTAAAATACATAAAAGTAACAAGCATACAAAACACTGGCATACAGGGCATTATAATAGAGCAGATTTCTGGATGCCATGCAATTTGTTAAAAAAGAGCATATTTCTTGAATTTCTTCATACTCACAAGAAAAGAAAACATTATTTCGCATTCAGCAGATAGATTAAAAAATAGCTTCTGTTTCTGAAAATAGAGCTGCACTTAGTAACAATGTTTGCAGAGACCTTGTTACAATCAAACACTGCAATGAGGCCAATAAGAGTTTTCTTACTGGCAAAGCAATAGTGATGTTTTCTACATATTGCAGTAATTTATCTATTTTAATCTGTTTTTTATTCTGTTGTTTTTAAACTATGAAAAAAAATTTTTTTTTTTGTGCATTTGTTTTAAATGCTTCTTTTAGGGTCATATTAAATGTAAACAAATTGAAACTGTTCATAGCTTTTTCTTGTAAAACAACATACAGTTTCTTTAAGCAATATTACAAGCTTTGAAGCATCTTATTTCTGATGAAAAGCATGAACCAAATTATAATCTATATCAGTACAAAGCCTTCTATTAAAAAGACCATCACATTTTAAAGAAGCTAACATTAAAATCCCTTAATATTGCCTTTTGGAAGGTGTTTCCATACAAAATGCCACAGGATCATACTTAAATGTTTCTTAGTTGCACATATAGTTGTTGAGAGAAAAATTACTAATTCTAACTATATGTTTTGTGTAGCTTCAGAAGGCCTTTATCAAATTACTGCTGCATGGCAACATAACATTTATTGGCAACTTTTAATATTTTAAAAATTTAATAATCAAAGCTACACTGAAATTATTTCAGATATTTTTGTATCCAGACATATTTAACTTCACTTCCCTACATAAAAATTCATTAACATGCTTAAATATTTTATCAAGCATGTTTTTAACATTTATTCATAAGATAATTACGAAGAACACACTTTTTATGAATAAGCAATAAGCATTTAAACTATATCATGAATAAACTGCTGATATAACATTCAAAAATCTGCACTCAATTTAATAAATACATGTTTAATCATTTTAAAAATATTTTTTAAGAGCTTTTACAACATAAAATTTCCCAAATCAATCTGGAATTTCCACAAACAACTTAAGTTTGAATATACATCAATTAATAAACACTTAATTTTAAATTTAATAAAAGCTATCAAAATTACATATTTGGCATTTAATAAGCATTTACATCAGGAAAGTTTCAGAAATCTTTCAAATATATGTTTTTGGAATAACAATCATGTCCAATTATAAATTACAGAACTAAATTCTTCACACACCAAGCTAAAAACTCCCAATAATATGTTTTAATGCATTTTATCATTAATTAAAGCCTCCCAGTTCTAAAATATATTAGTACTGCATTTAAATAATACATATTGAGGAAAATGACAAAATATGGAGGGGGAACTGACATTGTAAAAATGTGAAATTTTCTTGTAAATACCAACTGATATTACATCTGCTGAAACCAGTCATATTTTTAAAATAAATTAACAATAACAATGTTTTGAACATTTTACATAAAACAATCTACATTTTGACAGTTTTTAAATAACTACTCTGGATGACACTCTTCTAAATGTCAGGCTGAGCCATACAGAGCAGTTCACTTTCTACTCATTCCAGTTTTACTTTGAGGTTAATGGTTATGTTATGCCACATATTTAATTAAATTAAGATACAAGGAATAATCCATAAGCTTCATGGTTCAAATCCTAGTAAGGGTATAATTAATTTTTCATGTCTGCTGCTCCTATTGGTGGGGAGGCCAATTTTGTCATCAGTTGTATTTGGTCAACTGGATCTTCTCAGTTAACATAGGGATGAATAAAAGAAAGTGCATTTCTCTGTACATAATCTCATGCATAACTGTTAGCATGCACAAGATTCATGGTTCAAATCCCAATGAGAGCACAGCTGATGGTACTTAAACATTATCTTGTCGACCACGAAACCATCACCAAGCAGTGTGATTTAATTAATGTCAGGTACAGATAAGTGGGGTGCAACAACATACTCATTTCATACGATGTTAACCCAAATAGTTGTCAATTCATGTTTTCATGAACAAGGATATAAATTAGCTGTTATTGCTGCATTTTTTCTTGCAGTTTGAAAATATGGGACCGGCCTTTTACACATAATAGCAAACAGTGGATTATTTCCAAGGTTATGGTATCCTACTATAAAAAAGCTTTCATTAATGGACATGATATAGTCAATGGAATATGGCTGATAAATCTGCAATACAGCAGAACTATTACCTGCAGGAAGTACGTACCCACAGCATGCAAAACAGAATTTTCAGTAAAACCAGAGTATCCAACAAAATAATAGAAATCGACAAAAGCGAAGTGCAAAAAACAAAGCAGGTCAAATACTAACAGTTTATTAATAAGTTGCTTCAAAATTCCATAGGAATGACTAGCACAATGTTGGTGACTTTCGGCTTGCAGCATATTAAAGTGCCCCCATGCTGCATGGACACTATACACTTACAAATATCCATGCCTTCTCTGGGATTTGAAACCAGGCCCTTCGGCACGACAGTCAGCAATGCTAACCACTACAACGGTTGGGCGGCGGTTTCTTTTTCTCTGTTCCTAAATGTTGATTTTATGCATATTTTTATAACATAGGTATTTAGTACCAAACTCTTATTACAGTAATTTGAATTCTTCTACTATACAAGTACCAATAACAAATAGTAACCGCAAGTGGAATTTTGAGTAAACAGTGATATTAATGAAATTTCAGACTGGTTAAATCTTCAGATATTAATGCCAATTTAAAAATTTTTAGGTCACTGTTTTATATGGTATCCAACAACTACTACACTTTATAATTAAAAGAACATGTTCTTGGAATAAGCAATGATTGAGAGTAAGAATTTTTCTTTTTACTTAAGCTTCTTTAAATAACACTGTTTTACCTGTAGTTTTGTACTTTAAGTTAAAATTTTAATAAAATGTTCAAAATAAAAACTGTACTTTGATGTGCTTATTCATGCATCAGTAAGATCTGTTATTTATATACACAGAAATTCATACCTATATACACTTGGACATAAATCAGACATTTTAAAATTGCATAAATAATTCATAAAAATATTTCATCTTCTGCTTAACAGACCATTGACAAATAAGCAATTTTCGCATTTTCTAAACACAAAATTTACATATGGTAGTCAGAATGAGCATTATCTTTGTTCTACATCACTTCTAGAGTTACAAAACTAAAAGAACTTCACAAATTTTATCTTTCAGTTTAATTAGTCAAAATGTACAAATGAGCAGCCTATAATATCCTAGCAAAAATAAACATTGTTTCAAGGTAGAATATTTAAACAATATACCAAAAGAATACTTTTGAAACAATTTGATACTATTGCCTTAATGCAAAAATGTGTATAAATCAACTGAACTTTGGCCTTCATGCCAAACTGGCATGTAACATCAGCTTAAGAGCAATCACAATTCCTAACTGCTTATACATGTTCACCGTCTATGCACAAAAGATGATTATTTTCCTTTTGGTAAGTTGTAACTGTGTAAAATAGTAGACTTATGTATCAAATAAAGATTGCATCTCAAGTTTATTCAAAAACAAAATTAAATTCTGAAACTGGCATGTGTAAATTAACTTTTGAATTCTTCACAGATGAACTGCAGCTTAAAAAAAAAGCATTTTTGGTAAATTCCCACAAAGAATGTATGATATAGCTTCTTTTCAATGCTATGGAAATCTTGTTATATCTTAGGTGGTTTCCAAATGGTCTACAGCAGGGGTCGGCAACCTTGTACCTGTGGTGCGGTAAAGCAATCTACCAATATGATTCAGGATGCTGCACGGGGGGGATATCTGAAACAATTCAATTCCCACGGCAATGCATGTTGAGTTAGGGAATAGAGGTCAAGAATACAGATTTAGAGTTTTATTATATATTAATTACATATTTATTAACATAAAAACAAACAACATAATATATAACTATTCCTTCAACCTAAATAAAAAATTTTAATTTTACACATATTATGTATCTTTTAAACATATTAAAATAAAAAATAATCAACATAAAATATAAGTATTCCTTCAAGATATTTAAATAAAAAATTAACATTTTAAAGCAAAGCTTGCCTTTGCCTCGCTTTACCTAATACAGCAATATCAGGGGTATAATTTGTGACTTTAAATTTAACACATGATTCTGAATTTTGTTAAACAACTTCTTTGCGGACCCAAAATATTTTTCATATGAGAAAAGATTTGTTCATGTAGTTATGTAGAACCAACAGTGGAAAGCAAAGCACGTTTAATTTCCTTCAAAAAATTAAATATCTCTGGCAATGTCATCTAGCAATTTCAAATAGCTGTCATTTATCGTTAGAGTTATCTTCCAGACTTTTTTGTAATTCCACAAATTTTGATTTCCATAACTCTGAAAATGTTAGTTCAATAAATTACATTTTAAAATTATCAACTCCCATCCATTCAAAAACAGAAAAATCATATGAGATTGGTAATAGGTCTATTAAATCTGGTTTGACTAATCAAACAACATAAGCTTGTACGCCTCCTTTAAGTGCTTCAACATAGGTTTGAAGTTCATTTTTGTCTGTGATGGATGCATTTTCTGGGGTATATTTGTATTAATATCACGAGAAAATATATTTTATTTTGTAATAAAGCTTTTCCAATATAAAAAGTTTGTGCACTTTTTGGCCCTTTCCTTGCAACCCTAAGTTTAGTTGAGATGTTTAGTTATATCAGTTGGAAATATCAATTTGGGGAAATGTCCTTTTGTCTCATTACAAAGCACTTTAATGTGTTCCATGCATGACAAACTTATTCAATACATTACCTCAACTAAGCCAATGGACATAGCTGTATAAGGGGAGATCCCCATACTAACTTTCCATTTCTTCTAAGAGATTTAAATTGCTGTGTAGCAATGCAGAACAAGACACTATGAAATTAACTATTTTAACAACAGGGCTCATTACAGAAATTAAGCACTGTGATGAAATTTTGGGAACTAAACTTTTCTGATGTATTATGCGATGGATGTTCAATATGATTTTCAAGATGTTTGACAAATCCTTTTTCTTTGCCATCCATAACAGAAGATCCATCAGTAGTTACACAAAATATTTTATTTATATTAATGTCTTACTTTCAAAATAATTTATAAATGAAGAAAGAATATCCTATCCCTTAGTTGCCTCAGATAGAGGAATCAAGCTGCATAATTCTTCATAAACTTGATCTTTACCTAAATGTCGTGCAATTACCACAAGGCACGAAACATCATTCACTTGGGTCTTTCACCAAGAGAAACATTAAATGCAACATTTCTTGCAATCCAGAATTATGTTTTGTTGTTCCATTTTCTGCTATTTGAATTATGTCTTTCAATAGTTTGTACAAAAGCATGTATTTCTTGAATTCAAGATAATATTGTTTGTAGACTTGGTAAATCGCTGGGCAATATTTCAACACTTTTTAAAAATGTATCCTTTACATATTTGCCATCTGTGAAAGACTTGCCTTTAGCAGTTACATAGTGAGCAATTACAAAACTACATTCGGCCACTTTAGGTTTCGTTTGAATTGTTTGACAAAAAATGTATTCATATACCCAGAAACAGCTCTTTTTGTAAGTCCACATTTCTCATCGTGATCTCATCCACATTGTCTCATCTACATTGATGTCTTATCCACATTCTGAAATGTGGACTGACGTTTAGTTTGAAAATGCCTTTGTACAGCTGACGTGCAACATATGATGTTTTTGCAACATAATACACATACACAGGGTTGCCACTTAAACACGAGAATGAAATTCCCTGACTTTTCCAGGTGTGTTTTAAGAAAATTCCAGTCTATCGTAATGCACGTTGGCTGGGCTAAGAGGTAAATTAATTATGGTACCACTTGGAAATACAAAAATCTGTCATTACATGACTTTATATATATAATCCTCAAATCATTACTATTATAACTATAATAGGAGTTGTTTTCTCCATTGAAGATTGAGATTAGAATCTACCCAATCTGGATTAGAAAATGTCTTTTCTTGCAGGCATTTTGCAGCTAAACGAAAGAAAGAAATCTACTTAATATTTTAAAATAAATTCAGGTATTTTATATTTATTTAGCAGCATACATAAACAAAAAATATGTGCAATAAATTTCGTCGTGATATGTCATCATACTGCTAGAATTAGTTTCAGGATTATGGCAGAGAATCAACAATATTTTGCCGAATATAGTTATATTAAATGGTTAGCTAGGTGACTGATTACTATTTTTTATTTTACTGCAAAATGACAAATAAGGCATTTATTAAAAAGAAAAAAAAAAAGGGTTTAAAAGATTTTGCGGTAAAATCCTAGTATACGCTACAGCCTTGGCAGGATTTTGAAATGACCCGTTTACTGCTCATCATAATGTCGCCAAGTCATGTGTGCATCGTACATGGAGGCTATTCTAACCTCCATGATTAAACCGATGAGATTAAACTGATTTTGTTTTATACGAGAATACGTATTTTCTTTAGTTCAACATGCACATGTGCATGCGAGTATCTCAATTCTTGAGGTTACTGGAGACTTGCTTTGCCTTTCTTAAAGAATCTAACTGGAGCTGCAAAAATTGGCTCTATGCCAGCTGGCCAAATGATGCTCACATGATACATAATTCGCCAAGAAAGTGATTGCTTCCAACGTCGGCGCAAACTCTTTTTTTTTTTTTTTTTTTTAATCGCCATATGAAATTCCCTGACTTTTCCAGATTTTGACTGATTTTTCCCGGTAGTGTTGCAACCCTGCATACAGCACGATTGTTTTATAGTGTGAATCTATATTCATCCATCCAAGAGTCTTGAAAATTGCAAATATCAAGCTTCTTTTATTACTTGCCATTTGATTAAATATGAACGTATGAATTTTCCCAATAATTAAACAAATAAAATACAATTTTTCACAATAAAACTAAGAACATGTCATAAAGTTAAAAGTAGCCTATAAGCACATGACGTGCATCGAACTAAATTCTACTTTCAACTGAAAACATACTCGATACTCGAGCATTGAGCAACAAAAGGAAAGAAAATGCATGAGGTGCATGCATAAGATGGGGCAGTGCAGAGAGGAGAGACATGGCAATTTATCTGATAACTGGGTACAGTGGTGTAAAGTGCCACTGCAAATCGTACCAAGTGCCATAGGTTGCCGACACCTGGTCTACAGAATACCTGTAAATCTTTAAAACAAAATAAAGTACTCTAAGCAGATATGATAAAAACCCGATTTTAACATTGGAGATTCCACAGATAGCTTGTCTGTTTTAGCAGCTATAATCTGGAATCTAATTGAATGGCTTTACCAAGTTCTCCTTTAACAGCTGCTTGATGTAAGGTTGCTGTATTTGAATATCGACATCCACATGTATTCTTGATTGACATGCTAAAAACCATGTTTAAACAACTATTAAGTTTATTATTAAAACAACTATATTCCTTTTGCAGACAGCCTTGTCTGCTTCATCAGCTGGTATTCAAATGAATGGCTCAATTAAGTTCCCCTTCTTTCATTTTGTTTCCTATAGAGTTGCTTGGCTTTCTTAACAAAGTAGTTCTCTGAAAAAAACTAGGAAAACTGTGACGAATCCACTGATCTGCATTGGCTTGGCAAGCTGGAGCAATATGTATGGCTTGGTCTGCAAAACATTATTAAGTAAAATCAGTTATTACATTACACACATTACTAATTACAATACACATTTTGCAAAATGATAAAAATTTCATTCAAATTTAGAAGCAATTTTATTTATTCAAGTTTCCTTAGCAGTGGCAAATTATGCTAATAAACCTTCCAAAATAAAAACTAGACACATCGACACCTATTGTGGGCTGGTCAAACTAGGGTTTATTTGAGTTAAGGGAGACATCTGGCATGGTCGATAATGCTCCATGATGCCAAGAAAACTCCTTTTTCTTCAATTGAAAGATCTGAATTTTATGAGTAGAACAGCTATTTGACAAATGGAACTGACTCGGTTAGCTTAAGATCGTGAACAGAGTAACTGAATACTACTAAACACAGTGGCGTAGCTAGGGAGGGGCAAAGGAGGACATCTGTCCCTGGGCACAGCATCCAGGAGTGCCAAATTAATGGTACAAAATTTTAGAATGAAACTTTTTACACTTTTGGTACACAGAAAAGGGCACAAGATCTTCAGTTGTCCCCGGGCGCTGAAAACCCTAGCTACGCCTCTGACTAAACAACATGGGAACCTTTTGTGTTGACAGAAAACTTGGTGACGATAGCAGACTTCAGCTAACTGTGCTGTGAAGTACTGAGTGCATTGATGAAAAGAAATTAACAAAAATTTCTCTCCATATGAAAAAAAAAAAAGATTTTGTAAATGATATTTATAGGCCCAAATGCTGTATTCAGTGTTGTTTACAATAACTGATTTGCTGTTCAGATAAAACTGTATATGTGGGAACTGATTCAGGACTCAGATAAGCCTTAAGCACATATGGGAAATAGTAGATGCAAGTATAATAAATAAACTAATATAATTCAGGTTTTAACTTCATCAGTGCATGACAGAAGAAACACAAAATTTAGTTGTTTTTAGTTGCCATTCTCATGATACATAACCCATAATGTAGAATGGACCCTAGCTAAGCTTTGTGATGATAGCAGTGAATTTGACAGTTTTTGGATATCACAAACAAAATGCGAAATTTTCTAATTAATCACATTTATGAAGAACTGTGGAAAAGTGGTAATAAAATGGATATGATATAACAGAAGTCTTCTACGGCACACATTAACAATGCCCCAATAATCAACTAATGGATTGTGAAATCTATTGTATGGTTCTAAATTCAGGAAATATTCTTACTGTTAATGGAGAAAGTGAGAGAGGTTGTTGAGAACGAAAAAAAAAAAAAAAAAAAAAACTGATTGATAATTTAGTGGGAATTCTCAATATGGCAATTACAGGACTTTGAGAACGGAACTTTGTAACTGAAAAAGAAATTATAGCTATCTATAAAATTATACAGAAAGTATTGGCATAAAAATAAGCAACTTAAACAACTTGTAATGAAAGAAATATTAAATAAAGAAAAATAAACATTGAGCTTTTTTTTTCCCCCTAGTAAATTGTGATTCCCTTAAGGTCATAAAATGCTTTATTACTTCATAAACAACTATTTTAATCTTTTTCATTTTATAGTTTCTACATGTTATCTAGCTAGATTTAAACTGATAATCTAAACCTAAAAAACTCCAAAATTTGGAATCACCAAAGCCCTGACAGGTCTGGATCTCAGATTTTGTATCGCAGAACCTTAACAAATTCCCAGATGGCATATCATGCATGCGGATCCTTATATGAGCGACCTCAATAACCTACAGCTTTGCATATGGATCCTTAAATGAGTGACCTTAAAAACAAACACTTCTGCAAACAACATGAAAATATTTAGCAAATCTGAACAGGTGTTTAAGCATAATTTAATAAAAATGGATTTAAACTTTATCATTTTATGCATTATTTCAGTAACATCCAAATTTTAAATTTGCACATCAGAGTGTTTTACGAAAAGAGAAAAAAATACACAGTTAAACTATACATTCATGTCTTATAAATATTTAAATTTTGTAAATTCATTTATACAGGCAATACAAATATGGAAATAATTCATACACCTGGAATGTAAAAATATACTGATTTAACCCACAAGTCTGCTTAGCAAATAAAATTACATGTTTAAATTAGTAGCTACATCTTAAAGCTTTTCTTCTCTGTTCTTTTTTTTTAAATATCTGCACAGCTGTTTTCTGAATCCTCAAGTCATCTACTGAATTATTACACACACAAATATGTGTGCATGTGTAAAATTTTCTTAAAAAAATATTCAGTCATTCAAAAAGCTTGCAGAGCTTTTAAAAAGAAACATGAAAGATAAAAAAATAAAATTAAAAAAAAATTCATTTTGAAAGAAGAAAATTATAATATTATTCATAATAAATATCACTCTCATGTAATTAAAAATAAAACTAATGATATAAACAGCCCAGTATGAAGACAGTTTATCTTCATACTAGGCTGACTTCTAAATTACATTATTTTTTAAGAGAAGTTACATTTCCAAAGTGATTGCCCAAGTAAATTTGCACAGAAATGGATAGTATACGATTTACGTTTTTAAACATCTCTCGGAAAGAGGTACAGAGGAGAGCTGGGGAGGGGTTAATAAAATTATACTTAAAGTAAGAAAAACTGAAAATATTAGAACTCTTTATCTGCTCATAAAAGGGTTAATATTTTCTCAATTATTATTATTTAAAACTCCTGCATACATGCAGGTTAGTAATAGATTGAATGCACACAGAACAGGGGCAGGGCATTGACATTTCCATGTGATGATTGATCCTTTCTGATAACGGATAGTGATGTACTATTTCTGGAGTCTCTCCATCCCTGGCTATTTGGTCTTCGAGAATCTTGAAATTTAAGAGCCAGGTCAACAATGCATGATCTGTGTGGAGCAGGAATTTTCTGCCATAGAGATAATGAGGGAAATGTTCAACTGCTTTAACTATGATGAGCACCTCTCTTTTTGTAACCCGGTAATTCCTATCCGGTTTAAATAGACACTTGCTCCAATATGCTACGACACATTCTTGATTGTTTATTTCTTAGGACAAAACAACCCCAACACTCTCACTGTTCACATCCCTGACAAGAATAAAGGGTTTGTCAAGCTGAGGATAGGTAAAGATTGTCTCAGATGTTAAAGCTTCATTCAGTTTAAATGCATCCTCACATTCTTTTGTCCACAAGAACATTTGCTTGCTCTCTGTCAGTTTGTGAAGGGGTGTTGGTCGTGAAGAAATCTTCATAAATCTCCTATAGTAGATCCAAAGGCTCAGGAAACTTCTTAGCTGATGGACATTTTCAGGGTTTCTCCAATCTTTAACTGCTGACAATTTTTCTGGATCCATGCATGCACTTTCAGCAGAAATGACATATCCAAGGTAAGTGACTTTCTGTCTGAACAATTTACATTTGGCAGAACTTAATTTTAGATTAGCTTCCTTCAATTTCTGAAACACCTTTATAAGATTTTCTAAATGCTCTTCAAAACTCTTCTTCTCAATAATGATGTCACCCACATATATCAGACAACCTTCATAGGAAAGACTTCTCAACATGGTCTCCATCAATTGTTTGAGTGTTGCCAGTGCATTACACAACCCAAACGGCATCACCTCGAACTGCCATAGTCCTTGTTCAGTAGTAAAAGCTGTTTTTTCTCAGTCATCAGAGTGTATCTCTATCTGCCAACATCCAATCTTTAAATCAAGCATCAAAAACAACATGCTTCCAGAAAGAGCATCCAAAACATAATCAATTTTAGGAAGATGGTAGTGGTTTTTCTTATTAACCTTGTTCAACCAGTTATAGTCAATGCAACATCTAGCTGAACAATCTTTCTTTCTGACCAGGACGATGGAAGAGATCCAAGGACTTGCTGAAGGCTCGATAACATCGCTTTCCTGCATGTCCTTTAGAAGTCTTCTTACCTCTTCCTATTTAGTAATCAATAGACAACTTTAATGTTGCTTAATTGGTGGATGGTCCTATGTATCAATTCTATGCTGTGTCAAATTGGTTTGACCTACATCAGAAGATGAGTGGGAGAAAACATTTTAAAATTCTTGAGTGACACATTCTGCAGCATTTCTCTCTTTATCATTTACCTGTGCATTCTGCAGTAACTTTGATGTTAGACTCTCCAGAGACACAGACTCTGGAGGACTAACTTGTTCATTTAACACAGGTCAATGGAGTACATGCTGCAATCACTTCACCTTTCGTAATAATTTTCGCCATATCAGTTACATTGGCAAATCTTACCAGGATAACGGTCCTTGATAGGTCGATGAGTGAAGAGGCTAGAAGTGCTCATTTCAAGCTGTTACAGTTCTTGGGATATTCCATTATGGTGCACTGGAAATTTCCGTTTTCAGCTATGGATCCAGAAAAAAAAAATTCTGTTCCTGCTGGTACTTTATATCATCTTAAGCTACAATTTGGTGGATGGATTTAACTCTTTCATCTTTAATTTGAAACAGATGTATGTCCTCAGAGGCAGAATGCAGTCCATCATTTTTTAACTACAAGGGAAAATTACATTTCCTCAGAAAGTCTAATCCAAAAATATGCAAGGGTCTGTAGTATCTGCCACATATGCTGTTTGATGGTAGGTAGCACTCCTAAGTGTGATATTAACATTTAACTTTCCATGGATTTTGATTTTACCACTGGACACAGTCTGGAGGGCAACATAAGGTGGTGTCCAGATGAGTTTACCTTCCAAATGTTGAGCTAAGTCTTTCTAGATGATGGCAACATTGGCTTCAGTATCAATAGTCATATTGTAAGGAATTCATTTACATGTCTCATGATAAAGAGTCCATTATTGCCACTACTCACTGAAGAAATCTGAAACTAAACTTTTCAATATCTGTCAAACTTCATTTTGTGAGATGGCCACTAATTTGTTTCCTCCCTCCTTGCTGCAGTCATATTTTCTGTGCCTTGGTTTCCCTGCAGTTCTTTCGTATATGGCCCTTACCACCACAGTTCCAGCACTTTACACTCAATTTATTGCCAATCCTATTCTGTCCCAA